TGGAAAGCAGCCAGGCAACCTCAGGTTTCACACTAATCTTTTTTCATTGCCAAACTTCACTTGCTAGAAGCAGTTTGAAGGAGGCGTGGTAACTGGGTAAGGAAGAAAAGGCAAAAAAGGATGGGATAGGGGTCTATTATTAATTTTTTAAAAATAGGATTGGGAAGTTTTTTAATTTCTTGTTTCTTCTTTATTTAGTTTCTTATCTCTTTTGTTGCTTGTAGGGAGCATCTAATGTGTTAAGTTACATTTTGCATTACGAGCTCTTAAGTGGAGGAGGGGAAGGGAAGCTTTGACAGAAATCCGAAAGTTAGAAGCGAACAAAATTTGTGTTAGATTTTGTCCACTTTTAATTTATGGTTTTCTTTTGCATTTTTATGAGTTTTTGCTGTGCAGCGCTAGAGCGCTGCAGCAGATAGCAAAAACGCGTATTGCAACGACCCTTTCTGTGTATGTATGTGTGTGTATGTGTGCATGTATATGTTTGTGTGCGTGTGTGTTCGTCTGTCCGGGTATTTCATTACTCCAACCACGCAAGTTTTGAAGTGAAATTTATTCAGCTTGTTCCCCACCAAGTGTCACCCCAGGGCGACAGTGTCGACCCTCACGGACTTCTGGGCTCCGCGTACGACCTCGTGAAAGTTTTGGCGGGAAAACTGCTAACAAGGGAACGAGAAAAGCTGAGAAGTTGAAACTTTAAAAGAATGTTCCCTACCCATGTATGACTAAAAGATTTCAAATTCAGCTGCCCAGGACTGCCGGGGACTTACGCACGGGCACATGAAAATTATGGCGGGAAAATTCATAATTCGGGAATGAGAAAAGCTAGAAAGTTGAAACATTGAGGTAATGTTCTCTACCCACGATCAAAAGTTTTCAGACTCAGCTCCTTAGAACCGCCTGGGGCTCACGCACATGCACATGAAAATCTTAGTGGGAAAAGTGCTAATTCGGGAAAAAGAAAGCTAGAAAGCTGAAATTTTAGAGTGATGTTCCCTGCCTGTGCGTGACTAAAAGATTTCAAATTCACTTATCTGGGACGGCCCGGGACTCAC